CCATAAACATACAGTATGCTATTATTGCTGGTTGCACAGTCAGCTAGATGTTAGACTGAGTTTGGCATTTTTGTCCAACTATTGTCCTTCCTAAGGACCTGGAATAGGCAGATGTTGTTTGGATGGTGTTATAAGTATCATCACAGTTTGTAAGCTGTTCCAAGTAAAAATGCCTTTTGCAGTTGATGATGTTTTTTTGTCAATGCCAAAGATGTTCAAGTGGTATTCCAATTCTGTGATTGCACCCAAGAGGCCTATTACTGTTGGTACCATCTTTGATTTTTTTTGCCACATTCTACTGCTATTTGCAGGTCTTTGTATTTTGTGATTTTTCTCTAGTTCTTTCCCTTCTATTCTACTGTCTGTAGGTACATTACCATATCCAATATCCAGACTTTTTGTCTTTTTTATCTATAGTTGTTAAGTTTGGAGTGTTATGTGGCAGATACTTGTCTGTTTGAAAGTCCTGAAGCACTTTAGCTTCTTCATTTTCTATAATTTCAACGAGTTATTGCTTGCAGGCAAGTGGCATTTCTTGCAGATATTCCAGTGCACCTTTGTTGCTATTTTGTCATGTCATTGTTTGTAATCAATCTGTGCAATCTTCTACTACAGCGTTCCCCAACCTTTTGGGCACCAGGGACTGATTACGTCTAGAGAGGTTTTTCCGCAGACTGGAGGAGTAGTGCTTTGTATGCTGCCTGCATCCCACAGATGGACTTTCCTTGTTTGTGTGGACCAGTTACTGGCATACCATGGCCCAGTACCGGTCCATAGACCGGAGTTTGGGGACCCCTGTTCTACTGGGCAGTCCATTGTTCTCTGAGGAGATGGCATTTGCTGTCTGTTGCTATTATTATTTTTCAAATTTGTTATTTAAAATAAAAGCACAAGGTAAAGATGTTAGAAATGACATATTAGTCAGCTTTAATATTGTAAAAACTAATTTTAAAACATACAACTATTATCCTTGCTATTAATAAAAAAAATACATGCCATATTTTTTTTTTGTCCCCATCCCTACTTTGCTGCTCAGAAAGCTCCATTAGTGGCCCTTACTACAAGGCAGTGGGTATTTTTGCTGTGCCTACCTCGTGGATTAACACCCTCCTTTTAGAAGGGCCCTGAAGAACTGATTCTCATCTCTGGCATAGGTCCAGCATGTAGAGTGAGCCATTAATATGTTATACATGATTTATTGTCTCCAGCACTGTATATAGCTTTGCCTATTTTATGTATTTTGATATTCTAATTTTTTATTAGCTGCCCAGAGTTGCTTGGCAAGTATATGGCAAGTCCATGGACATTGAATAGATAAATATTTCTCAATAGTTCAATAACAGCTTTTTGGCAAGAGGCAGAGAAATGCAGCACAATAAATATAGAAAACAAGGCTCTCAGCATCCATCAATCAGCTCATGTGGGAGCATCTAAGCTGAGTCCCACAGGAATTGAGCATCCTTAGTATAAATAATGCTGAAAACATGGGGGGGGGGGCTCGTCTAAGATCAGTTCCAGGAATATGGATAAAATCACTTCATCTACTAGGTAATAATTCCTTTCTTTTTATAGTCAGGTAGAATATTATAAAGATTAATAGAGTCACAAATATATTTGTCAAGCTGTAATCTGAGGTTTATTCTGTACTTTCCTGCTTGCACATTTTGAAGTGTCACACATTTGGGAATAGAGGAGGGCACATTTTGTTTATGCAGGAAAGCAATTATTATAACCAGTTTCTATGACACAGATCTAAAGCAATACATTCCATCATCACATTAAGCACTGGCCATCTTTCTGCAGTGCCAATAATATTGTCTTTTGGCTGGTCAATGTAATAAAGGCTGCAAGCACTGAGTAACAGCATAGCTGCTGCTGTTCCTGTTACTTAATGGCATAAATGAAATATTGGAATAATAAGGGTTTAAAATAGTCTCCAGCCAGTTTTGTTATCCCCTGTTAAACTGCTAAAGAAGTGTGGCATCAACATACTTGAGGGAAGCTGAGGGTTTGCAAAAACACTAAAAATCACCTGAGGTAATGAATTGCATCTTCTCATACCCCGTGGGAATCAAGCTGCATTCTCAAATGAACATATCCTGAATTCTTTCATCAAGGCAAGAACCACCATCTAACCATCTAATGGTTTTCTAGTGTTTTAATGCTGTTTGACCTCTTGAAATCATGGATGAAGGCAATTTTATGCTATCACAATGAGCTAGAAGTTGATAATGTTGCCTTTTGAGCATGATTTCCTTATCATAATGTAATTCATCTTTCACAGTTTTTTCTAGGCTTCAGAAAATAATGTGTAGAAAGCAACATTGCCGATTTCTAGTAAATGAGGGGCATCTATAAGAAATTAATTCAGTCCCTCTCTTATAGCATAACTGCTCCACCTGTTACACATATTGCTTGGTTCAAAATGAATCAAAGCTCAATAGAATCAGTTACTGTACAACTTGGTAATTATTTATTATTAATTAATTATTAATTAATTAACTTGATAATTATCAAGTTCCCCAAACTGGTACCTTCAAGTATTGGCTTTTAGTTCCCATAATCCTTAGCTTGTCATAGACAATGGCCATGGTGTTTATGGATCTGGGTGCTTGAAGGACAACATGTTCCACTTATCTTTTGTTGCTATAGTTACATACCTGAACTGTAGAACAAAGAATAGGAATACAGTGTAATTTTGGAAAATAAATGGGTCCAGGTATTTAAGAATTAAGTTAATTCATCAAAAATAGTATTTTTTATCTAGTTGGCCTCTGAAAGCATCTTTAAAATTGATTGGATATCTGTTTTGGGTGTGTGCATGTCAGTGTGTTGGTATTATAAGACATTTGAATACTCTTTAACTCATATGATTTAGTCTAGTCCAGTTATAAATCCATTTTAGTCTCAAATGAACTGCATTAGCCTATATTAATACAATGTTGAAATAAATATAATAGCAAAGTATGGAACTATGATATTAAATTACATTTCCCAAATATGGAATGCATTATGAAAAGCTTTTATTTATTTATTAATCATGGTTTGATGCAGCCGCAATTAATAAAAACACTTAGCATAAACTATCTTACCTAAATTAAATATAAGTGAAAATATCCCTAATGAGAATAAAACAGCTGTTGCAACCACACAGAAAGGAAAACTGTCCAATGTAAGCTACAGTACACATTTGTTTCTATGAGGGGATGCGGTGGTGCAGTGGCTTAATGACACTGGAACTGCTGGCCAGAAATGGTCTGGACTCGAGCGGTTCAAGCTTGGCTCCACAATACAGGGTGGGCTCGTGTCACTCATTCCCTAATTCCTGCCCACTTGGATTTGAAAGCAAGTAATACTGCAAGTAGATAAATGGGTACTACTTTGGTATAAAAACCTAGCTGCATTTGTGTGTGTATAGAGAGCAGAAGCCAGTGATGGACCTGGCCAGAAGCGAGGCAATGCAACATGAGATGAGGCAAAGTGAGATTGACAGAAGAGCATGGAAGAGCCAACAACCTAAGCACGGCTAGTCAGCTGGTATAAGCTACTACACCCCCTGTGATGCACCAAGGATAGGCACACAAGGACCAAACAGAATGAATTAGCAATTAAGGCTGCCCAGGATTGCATTGTGTCTAGCATTTGAAGATTTCTCTAACATTGTATGTTAAATAGATAAATAAATGTCTGTATTGAACCTGAGACTCAGAGAGTAATTATGTACATTGAAAGAAATTTGTACCTGGGACTCAGAGAATAATTATGTACAGTACATTGAAAGAATGGATACTGTCTGGGTAAAATTTTCTAAAAATGAAAGGATGAATCTAGATTTAATGATAAGAGTAAGGACTGAATTAATCCCATATTAACAACAAATAGATTTTATCCTATTTGGTTGATTGAAATGTATAGGTTTGGCATGTTCCAGGTTCCTTCAATTAAACAATGCTACCTATGAAGCTCCTGGAAGCACCATCTTCTTGTTAGAAGCACCCTTCCCCCTGGAATGAGTTCCTTCTGAGATATAAATAGACACCAGTGTGGAGTTGTTTAGAAGGGCCTTGAAGAACTGCTTTTTTACCCAGATCTTTGGCGAGGGAGAGTGAAGCCTCTTTGTGTCTCTTTGTTGTTCTCACCATTTTATTTTATTTTCTGTTTTATTTTCTATTTTATTTTATTACTTTCCTTTCCTTATTTTCTGCTTCTTATTGTGTTCTCATGTTGTTGTCAGTCACCCAGAGTCTTTGGGAACTGGGTATTATGAAAATTACCTACCTACACAACCTTACTGCTTTGAATTAATGATTTTGCTTTCTATTTCCAATCACTGTAATGAATAGTTATTATTATTGCTACTATATTTTTATGGTGATTGCTGTTTATATTTCACTACGTTAATTAAATCAGCCTGTTGTTGTGTTCCATTTCTAAAATAAATCATAATATCATAATAGGAAAAGCCGATTTTCAGCTTCCCTGTGATATCTTTAGAGACAGAATTCTTTTTTTTAAATCTTTCTCTTTAGTTACATCTTCCTCTCTCTGTGTGTTTTTAAAAAACTCACTTTCTTTTGAATCAATGCCTTTTAAACAGAAAGGTCTGTTGGGAAAGTAGTTGGAAAAGAAAGATGGTGATAAAATCTTTCAGTTTTTATACCGATGTCAGGATATGCTTTGGAAAGTTTATTGTATAAGAGTTTATAGTATAAGGTCAAAGGCCCTAAAACAGCAGAATCTCAGTTTTATGGCAGTGGTTTGACATTTTTTTTTTTTAAAAAATCCAGCTCTATTACTTTTATATGTAACTTAAACTCCTTCCTCCTCCTATTCTCTCCATAACAATAGGTGAGGTGTGTTGGGCTTAGAGAGAATGACTGGCCAAAAATCAGCCAGCCAACTTTCATGCCTAAGGCAGGACTAGTACTCACAGTCTCCTGGTTTCTTTGCAGCCTCTTAACCACTATATCTTCTTTTTTCTTCCCACTTATTCCCAACAGGGCAATGCACTATTGCTGACACTTGCTGATGTAGAGCCTCCCTGTTCAATCCATGTTCGCATCAGTTGGACTTGAGGAAAAAATAAATATTTAACTTGAAAATCCAAATTATCAAGCCCCCCAAGATTAAGGTAAGAGATGGAAGCTCAACTTCTGTTCTGAAGCGTTTAAAGATTGTCCTGTTTATGCTGATGGTGCCATTTGTATCTCGATTACATAAAGAATAGAATAATAGAATAGAATAATAGAATAATAACTTTACTGTCACTTTGAATGTACACTAATCGGCATGCACTAAAATGAAACTTCGTTGCATACAGTTCTCAAAGGTTCACCACCTCCAGTATACACTACACAAATATGACAAAAATAAATAAATAAATACAGAATTATGCATATACCCACATATATTACATGACACAGAGAAACAACATGGACTAGTTCGGATTATGTATACATGTACATGGTGAGAAAAATGAATCTTGCGAATTTACTAGATGCGAACTGCAGTTGTTGTGAACCTGTTAGGTCTACACCCATAGCCAGAAATAAAGGGACAAGTACAGATATGTGTTTATGAAAGTTCATCACTGTTCATTTATATCAGGGGTCTTCAAACTTGGCCCTTTTATGACTTGTGGACTTCAACTCCCAAAATTCCTCAGCCAGGCACGCTGGCTGAGGAATTCTGGAAGATGAAGTCCACAAGTCGTAAAAGGGCCAAACTTGAAGACCCCTGATTCATATAAACAGTAACTTTTCCATAAAAGGTACAGTAACGGTTTCCCTGTTCAGTTCTATCTGACTCTCTGTTTCTTGGCTGATGGAACCACCATTGTCCAAAGACATTTTCTGTGATCATGTGGCCAGCATGGCTCTAAACAAAAGGTGCACAGAACACTGTTACCTTCCCAGCAAAGTGGTACCTATTTATCTACTCTCATTTGCATGCTTTCGAACTGCTAGGTGGGCAGGAGCTGTTATGAGGATGGGAGCTCACCTTGTTCTGCGATGCTTGGATCTCGAACCTGGGCTGTCAGCTTTTCAGCTGACAAGCTCAATGTCTTTAACCGCTCATTAAAAAGTGCTACATTTTGCTTACCTAACATCAGACTGATCTGATGGGTTTTGTACAGGAGTAATTTATTTAGGATTGTGTGGTGTTTGGAAATGGAGGAAACCATGAATAATGACAATCTTTTTTTTTTCCCCTGACACTTCATTCCTTTCTCTTTTTGGTTTTTGAAAGAGACAGACAGATCTTGGTAGATATCTGAACAGACCTAATAGATTTTAAGTGAGACCAAAGATCACATGAAATTAGATCTAGGGTCACGTGTGGCTTAGCAAATACAAATAGTTCTCTGGAATACTTCTTATGAGAGTATCTTAAAAAATGCAGGCATTTCAACTATGTGGAAAACTCGAGGGGAACCAATGAAGTTTCATTCACTTGTGCTAGATTTCTTATTCTTTTGTTCCTTCTTTCCATGTTTTTTAATTATCTATTATGAAATCTATTGGTTAACCACAACAAAAATGTTTTCTATACTATTTCCTCTAGATTTTTCCTGGGATTCTCCCTTGGGAATTTTCTCTGTAGATATACATAATATTTTCTGTCAGTGTGAAGCATTAGTGCTGCCATTTGCAATGAAGGGAAACAGTAGGAGTTTGCAATTTAGTATTTACATCTATAGAATTTTTAGCATTTTTAATGGTAAAATTGTAGTGCCGCTTAAGCTGCCTAAAGGCTAGACATTAAACAAAATGGTATTTTTTAGTTTTCTCTCAACAGTGATTCTGTGGCAAGTTGCCTCTAGCAGTAGAGGAGGCAACCTTTGACTTTTATCAAACACAGCTATGTATTTGAAACTGGTGTCTTTGCATTTGTTTTGATATTGCTGAAAATGTATTCCATTGATATGTGGCTTGTCTTAAAAAAATATTCTGGCCTCAAATGGTACTTGGGAAAAGAGGTAGTTGAATAAGAGCTCAATTTTATCAAGCTTATTGGGGTTCTAAGCTATCCTCAACAGGAAAAGTATCCAGCATATTTTCTTTCTTTTAACATCATCTGGTCCATTTGTAAATTGTGGGTTGTATTGTGTGTTTATGGAGGGGGGGGGAGAATTAGCTTCCCAAGCAGGAAAAATAGCCAGGACATGTGAATAAGTACAAATTGGCATTCAGAGGAAAAATGCCCTTCATTTCTAAAAGCTACAGATCAATTGATTATGTGGCTGTTTGTGAAGTGCTACTCCAGCCTCACAGCAGGCTCCCTGGGAGTGCTGTGGCCATCTTCTCTGATAGATGAATGGTGTTTTTTTTTTCTGTGTTAGGACTCCTAAAATAATCAGGCAGTTTCGGAGATGTTTAAAAAGGATCCATGAGTTCCTTTCCACTAAAGCAAGCCATGAACGTTTCAAGAATCTAAATGAAGAAATGTTTTAGAAGGAGATCCTTGGGGATAAAGAATAAAAGGGAAAAAAATTGAAATATATCGTACCCAAAAAATTCTACTGTCTTAGAATGAGCTGGGAATGACAGTAATTTGAATAATTTCATATTATAAAAATGCATTTGTGATTGAGTAGTATAGAAATATCTCAGTAAATCAGTTGATATTGTCAAAATATACTTGTAAACTAAAATCAATTCCAAATCCACTTTTGCTTTCAGTGGGAGTTAAAGTAAAATTTAACTCCCACTGAAAGTAAATGAAATTAAATAAATACAATTTCATTAAAGTGAATGAAATTTTAAAATAATAACTTTGAGTGGACTTGTGCCCATAGGTCGATGCCACTTTAAGTCAACTAATGTTAAAGCTATGAAATACGGGTGGGCTTTGTGTATGGAAGCTGAAATGGAAATACATCGTTTCGGTGCTTGGCTTATCCAATCTAGTTATAAATACTGTATATTCTAAAATACAGGTAGTCCTTGATTTATAGCCAGAAGTTGGGACCAGAACTTCCATTGCTAAGCAATACAGTTATTAAGTGAGTTATCATGTGACAGTGTCCAATTTTTCTACTTTTTTGTGGTGGTTGTTCAGCAAATCACAAAATTATTAAGGAAATCACACAATTGTTAAGTAAACCCAGCATCCCTCACTGAATTGGCTTGTTGGAAACCAGCTGGGAAGGTCACAAATGGTGACCACATAATCCCGGGATGCTTCAATCATCATAAATACATGCCAGTTGCCAACCACCTACATCACAATCACGTGACTGTGGGGATGCTGTGACTGTCATAAGTGTCATACTTTCTGCAGTGCTATCATAATTTCAAATGGTCACTAAACAAATGGTCATAACTTGAGAACTATTGTAGGATTCTCTAACTCTCTCTCCATATAGATTGGAACTATAATTTGTAGAATTTGGAGATAATCCAAGCCTGTTGTCCATTTACTGTGAATTGCAAGGTTAAAGCACCTAGAAGCCACCAGTTTGGGGAAGGTCAATCAAAACCCATAGCTACTACACTTCCTGACAAAGTCAGTGAGTGTTTCTGGAGTCTGTACTTAAGCATATAGATGGAATTATTTTAAGAGATGTCCATTAAATGCTACAATCCAACGTGTTCAATCTTGATCAATAATGATTTACTTCTAATTTTACAATGTATTAATAGTGTTCAACATTAGGGTTGTATATCTTGTAGAATGAGCAAAAGTAATTTGATGTTTGTTTCAATTCTGTGCCCTTGTATTCAATTTAAACTGATAGATAATTTCTAATAAAACATATATAGCAGCCTCATGATTATGTAGCTCCTGTAATACATAAAACATTCTTTTTGTTCTGGAACTTTAAATTTTCTTCTCTGGATCATGCTTATCCATCTGTTCTGGGAGTGGCTAGAGATTTTTACAAAATTAATTCTTTGAATTAGAAATAGATCATGGTGTTGTGGACATGTCTTGGCCCTGAAACTATTTCATTTCATTCAGAACACCTTGTCTGGAAGACCACATACTGCTTCTGATTTAAGGGAACAACTTCCAGAGAATTGTCAGATCATCCCAAAGAGGGATGGGATGTAATTGCATGGTTCAGAGAAGAAATAGTTAGGTGTTCTCAGTGCTTTTTTTGTAAAAAAACAAAAACAAAACACACACGTCATACAACCCGCCTTGCCTACCCTACAAGGTTTACCTTTGTAGTTGAAAAAAAAAATCTTCAATTTTTAGTGTATTTAACAGATTAGGATTTTGTTCAAGGTAAATTAATACTATTGATGTTACCATGCACTGTGTGGCTTTAAATTACAAAAAGGCATTTTATTCATCTTTTGGGATGTTTACCACTGGCATACCCATTTAGTTTAATGAGTGCAAATGTCAGCTTTCTATGTGGAATGAAATTGGCCCAATAAAACAAAATTTGGTTGCTTGTAAAAGATTGAATTATTTTTAAGAAGTTGTCAAACAAGGTGGAAAAATTTACATTTGGAGCTTAATATGGATATTGACTTGAAACAAATTAAAGTTGAAACTTCGGCAGTGAATAGATTACTTTTAATTTACCTTTAAGTTAAACCCAATTTAATAAATAGATCTGACTAAATCTCATACTGTAGGTCTACCTTTACATCTGACCAATACATAATTAATATATATTATTATTAATAATAATACCTCCAAATCACAAGACATTGAATTTATTTTTATTCTTCCCCTCTGCAGTTTGAATATAAAGTATAAAAGACTAAAAAGAGATTTTCGTAGACTTCCCAAGGAACCCGAAACAGCAAAGTTTCGCTGTTGGGCAAGTTTCCACACCAGCCGCCTTTCTTTCCTCTCGCTTCGCCTCTTTTTAACCTCACAACTCCACCTTCTGTAAGGGAAGGAAAAAGCCTCACTCACCCTCTCGTGAAAGAGGGCCTCCATGTTTATGAATCTCCCACCGCCACCATCGGCTTCCACACCACATGGTCCAACCTAGCCAATCAAGCTATGCTCTGGCTGTTGTGCTCAGGCACCTCATGGCTTCTCCTAGAGGAGGCAGAAGCACCGGTCAGAACCCCTCTCACACTGTACCACCAGCGGGGCATTTTCAAAAGCAAATGAGAATAGGAAGGGCAACAATAGGAAAAGAATGCAACTCTGGAAAATCGG